GCAGAATTTGTTTTGAGGGTATCTTAGATATTTTAGATGGAGTCGAAATGTTTTATGAGGTACGTTAAAAATTAGGGCGGAAACATTTTGTGAAACGTGAGAATTATAGATAGTTTTTAGGCCAAATAGCGCCAGTACCCCTCGTGGTTTGCAAAACAGGCATCAATACCCCCTCTATTCTCAAAACTTATTTCTAAAGTCTCCGTGGTTTCAAAATGCTGCACCCGTGCCCTCTCTGATCATTTTCCGGTCATTTTTCCGGCGAATAAAGGGGGCATTGGTGCATATTTTTTAAACCATAGGGGGTATCAGTGCTGATTTTTACTTCTCGCTTATTTTTTGTTTTTTCCATTTTTCCCTTTTTTTGTTTCATTTATTAATAAAGGTTTTTTAAAATTATTTTTTATAATACTCTTAAAATATAAAGTTATTTTTGTTTGAAAAAATTAACATATAATGCATATGTACGTCTCCAATTAACAATTTTTGTTTTTCTGAAAAAAGTAAATCTTTTTTTAGAACTTCAAAAAAATGAGGAATAAAATAAGAAAAAAAATTATATAAAAACAAAAATGAATATCCTTTTTGGACATCTCAATTCTAAGGACTTTTTTTAGGCGTGTCTAATTTGTTTTTTGTATAATACTTTTTTTGCGTATTTTAATTTTTTCATTTCGTTTTTCCATATTTTTATTTTTTTATTCTGGATTTTTTAACTTTCCAAAAATAATTCTAAGTAACAAAAGGTGAAAATGTTTAATTTGAGATATATGTAATGTATGTTAATTTTTTTATTTTTATTTTTATTTCAACCACAAAGAATTTTAAAATTTTTAAAACATTATAAAAAATTGAGAATATATTTTTAAAAAAATTCTAGGAAAAAGAAAAAGAGATAGAAAATATTTTTTTTTAAAAAAAGGGAAAACACAAACAAGAAATGTATGTTTTAGAAATTATGCGCCAATGCCCCCTCTTCGCCGGAAAATGGCCGGAAAATGATCAGAGGGGGTGTTGGTGTAATGTTTTTAAATCATGGAGACTTTAGAAATAAGTTTTGAAAACAGAGTGGTTATTGGTGCCAATTTTCTAAACCACGGGGAGCACCAGAGCTATTTGGCCATAGTTTTTATAAAAATTTAAAATCTAAATATTATCTTGTAAAATACAAGTAATTTATTAATATTACATTTGTGTTAAGATATTATATGTACTCTCTATTCTTGAATATGGAGGTCGAAATTTGTAAACTTTGACAAAAATACTAAAATTTGTAAACTTTGACAAAATACTACTAGGGTATGGAGGAGGGTGGGGGTAGGGGTGGAGTGGGGAAAGAGGTAAGGTTGGGTGGGGATTTAGATGAGGGGTAAGGGGAGTAGAAATCATCACTTTTACAAAAGGGTTACGGTAAACATCTTAAACGAAATGGGGTAATTAGTTGGTGTCATTATAGTGTCACCTTAGACCCCCTAATAGTATTATTAATAGTAACTATTAATAGTATTATTAATAGTATTCATAATAATATCAAAAGAATAATTTCAGTTATGCAAAAGAATAATATAAATAAGAAAATAATTTTAAAAAGAATTAGTCGATAAAATTACTTAAACAATTACATTATTAAATGATAATATCATAATAATATCATCTAATTAAAATTTCAAAGTTTTTAAAATTAAATTTGGATTTAAAAAAAAGTCTATTCTTGTAAGTGTTTGAAAGTTCTCATATTATATTAAATGTATAGTTTTGTTATATATTCGTTTTTTACATTTATAAGCTATATAAAGTACAATGATTATTTTGTACATTTTATTTTATAATGATAATAACAATAGTATTCATGATAATGGAAATAAAAATAATAGTATAAAAATGATTTTTAATAGTTAGAAAGAATTTGAAAAGAGTAGCAGAAATTAGAAAAAAATGAATATTTAGGTACTGAAAATGATCGAGTAATTATTTGTTCGAAAATAAGTATTTAGATGTTTGAAAATGAGTATTCAGTTGCTAATAAATAAGTATTCATCGTGGCTATATTGTGCTCAAACTATATTGCGCATAGATCTTCTCATTACGTGTTATAATGATTGATCGATTTTAAATTATTCTATTAAATGAGTGGTAAAAATAAATAAATAACGTGCATTATGTTTGATCCTGTAAATAGTGTATGAGAAAATCAATGAGGGACGGAAAGAATACTACACAACGATTTTTATTGAATTAATCGAAATCTGTTGAGTTTGATTGGAAAAAAAATCAAATTCGCCGTTTGGGTAAAGAATGTGGAGTTAGTTTTCCGCTCTCTCAGAATGAATTATACTCTTTACAATTCAAAAATAATACTCCCTCCGTCTCATAAAGATGAGTACGTTTTGACTAAAGTAGAAATTAAGGGAGGGATAATTTTGTGTTGACTTTCCATAAATACCCTTGATGTGATGGGTAAAAGTATGATGTGATGTGTATATTATTAGAAAAAAGGTATGATGTGATAGGTAGGGTTTGAAAAAATAAGGGATAAATGTGGTTTTTTAATAGAAATGGGTAAGGGATTGTGGGACGAATTTTTTTTGAAACGTGTAAATCTTTTTGGGATAAAGGGAGTATAATTTTTTGTTTATTTGTATGCTTTGATCGATTGTTTGATAAAATAAAATATTATTGTCACAATTTTTTTTGAAGAAATTTTGATGTACTTTTCAAATATAGACATTTTATTTTTTATTTTTATGCCAAATTTTTAATAATACGGAGTGTAAATTTAACAAAAATAATCAGAGTTTACTTCATTTTACATAAATTGTAATTTATTTAGGGGAGGGGAAATATCAATATTTCTCTTTCAAATATAATTAAAACTCATCCCTAGGTTTTTTTTACCTTTTATTACTAGTGTACTCTTTTAAATACTTCTCCCTCCGTCTACAAATAAACTTCTCGTTCACTATTCACAAGGTCAAATTTTATTAACTTTGTTGGCTTATTTTCGTCACTCATTTGATAAAATAATATGGTCATATCACATCTAGTTTTGTAGATCTTTTGATATAGTTTTTTAATATGTAATTTTTATTTTTAAATTTTGCATCATTTTTCAAATAAAATAATTTGAAAATAACTTCAGTCAAACATCGTAACGCGCAACGAAAAATTTATTTGTGGACGAGGAGAATATTTCCAATTAAATATTACGGAGTATTTCCTTCTTTCGAATTAATATTCAACCACACGTTTTTTCACTTTTTAAGTTTTAACTTGAGATGGGAGCAAGTTAGAGTGTCATCTACATACGTTGTATGCAGCTGTATACTTTGAAACCCTTTTGCTGTCTGATTCAAATCCTTCTGATTCAAAAACCCGGAGAAGATTGTAGTCTGGAGCTTTGTGAAACAGAGACTCATATGGGGATTTATGATTAAGAGACCTTTTTGCTGGGAGATTGGCTGTGCAAAGAAGTGTGACAAGAGTTTCAACCAAGTGACGGTGCTTTCTTTCAGCGACACCATTTTGTTCAGGAGTGTAAGGACAAGATTTTTGATGGAGAACCCCCAAATTTTGTAAAAACAGACCAAACTTTTTATTGACATATTCCCGCCCATTATCTGTGCGAAACAGCTTAAGACGTGCATTGAACTGAGTTTGGACCATAGATTGGAAACTAAGAAAAGCATCAAATGAATCAGATTTATTTTTAAGAGGGTACAACCAGCAAAACTTGGTATAATCATCAATAAAATTAATATAAAAATGATAACCTCCAAAGGAGGGTACAGAAGTAGGTCCCCATACATTAGAGTGAACAAGCTCAAAAGGAGCAGAAGTTTTAGTTTCAGACACAGGGAAGGGGAGTTTATGAGACTTAGCAAGAGAAAAAGAATTACAATGATCAAGATGCTGAAATTTAAAACCTAATTCAGACAATAACGACTTTGTGACTGAAGCTGAAGGATGACCAAGACGACAGTGTCATTGAAAGGGAGTGAGTTTGACAGAGTTGACCACCAGATTAGAGGAAGATGCCGGTATGGAGTACAGACCACGCTCACAAGGGCCCTTGAAAAGAACTTGGTTGGTGAGATTGTCCCGAATCGTAAAATCCTTAGAGGTAAAAAGAAGAGAACAATTGTTATCTTTAGTAAATTGATGGACTGAAAGAAGATGAGAGTTAATGTGAGGGGAATGGAGAAGGTTGGTTAAGGTAAAAGTGTGGAGAGGGGTGGTGAGTATACCTGAGCCTGTATGGTCAATGGGATAGGTGTTACCTCCTGCAGTTGTGATGGAATTGGTGTCATGGTACGGAGTCAAAGTATGCAGCCGAGACAAATCAGGCGTGACATGGGTGTTTGCGCCAGTGTCCAGATGCCAGTTCGAACTAGATTCAGCAGATTGATTTGCATAAAACGCCTGCGGTGGACCAGCATAGGATTCGTCGTAGCGGTGCCAACAGTTCCAGACCGCATGGCCGGGCTTCCCACATAGTTGGCATGTGACAGACGCCCCTCGTCTGCCACCTCTGCCGCGCGGATCATCACAGCTCAGCGGCTGCCGGCCACCCCTGCCGCCGGGGTTACCGCCGCGATACGGCCCGCCTCGTGACGGCCCACGGCCACGGCCTCGTCCAGTGCCCCGTCCGGAATTGGTGTAAAGAGCATTATGGATGTCAACAGACGAGGTAGAGCCAGAGTCTCCCAGAGACAATCTCTTCTCAAAGGATAAGTTCAATTCTTCAGAGAGAAGCCACGAAGAGACTTGATTAAAAGTGACTGTGGCAATATTGGTGCGAATGTTTTGCTTGAGAGAGGCGTAGTCGGCCGCGGTAGACCGCGAAGAACACACAAAATAATAGAGAAATTTACCTAAATAGGACTAAAACATAATAACTTTCCCAATATAGGACCATATGTTTTTATTTCCCAATGTAAGACTTTTGGTCATTATCAAGTAGTCATTATTCAAGTAAATGTCCATCATTACTGGACATTATTCCTCCCACTAGGTCTTTATTAAGTCCTATTTAAGAAATAAAAAAGTTTAAGTCCTACATGGGGAAAGTCATTATGTTTTAGTCTTATTTAGTGCAAATTTTACAAAATAATATCTTGTTCAGAGATATCTTCATGTGCCAATTTGAGAGACGACACAATGGTGAGAACAGTATCCAAGTACGTTTGCATTGAATCAGTGCCCTTAGTAACACTGTGCAAGCGCTCCTTCAGTTGAAAAATATGAGTGCGTGAAAGAGAATTGTACCGTTGTTCGAGATGATTCCAGATTGCAGCAGAAGTGGGAAGAGCATGAATATGAGTCTGAACAGTGGGGGAAACAATCGCAAGGAGACAGGCCCGAATCTGAGCATCAACAATAAGCCATAATTCATACGCTGGATTTGGTTTCATAACTGGGGGTGCATCCTTGCTTGGTGCCGTAGCCTTCTCATCAAGAATAAGAGCCGGTGGTGATGGTTCAGATCCATCAACATAACTGAGTAAGCGATGAGCAAGAAGATGTGCACCAACAGTAGCAGACCAAGAGGGATAATTGGTGTCATCAAGCTTGACCGGAGTTAGGGATTGAAGATTTCGGACAAACAATTTGAGACCCGTAGGAAGATGATCCATAGGATCAGGTGATAAGACAGCCATGACTGGTCACGGCAGAAGCTGGTGCGAGGGAGAAGCAGATCGGCAACGCCGATTTTTTTTTTTTTTTTTTTTGGTTAACGCAGCGACGGAGTAGGTCGAGACGGATCTCCGTGCTCTGATACCATGTTGATTTATGAATTCACTCTTAAGGAATAATTGTGTACATGGATGTTTATATAGGTGAGGATTCCTACATGGACTAGGATTCACCAAATAAGTAAACTAACATAAATAACAATTCTACTATAACTAGACTTCTTTCCATATATGTCTAACACCTTCAATGGATATTTTGTTTTTTTTCTTTATTTTTCTTTGAATTTCAGCTTCACACCTGGCTGCTCCTTTAAAATTTTTTCAGAAAAAAAAAAGAAGAAAGAAAAGCTTTTTGTATTGTAAATATATTTCATGCATGTGCAGTTTATGCCATTTGTTGTTTTGCTGGCTCCACCTTTCACACACCGCTTCATCTATCCATCCACATACTCCATCATATCTTCTTCTAGTCTCTAGAAAAATGTCAAATAAAAGTAGCTGTATGAGTACTGGAAATACAGGAGCTATCTGGACTTCAAAATTTCTCTCTCTGTCATATCGGTTTTAATCCCTCTAAGTTACACCATAGTTTCATTGGAAATACCAGACTCCATTGTGGTGTTTCAAATCTTTCTTCTTTTACTTTTTTAACATACATTTTATAAAAGTTGATACAATTTGATAATAATCGGTCTTATTGATTAATGGAGTATAGAGTACTATATATAGACATTACAAGAGAGAATTCTAATTTAAGTAGGAAAAAAATTATACTAACAATATAATACTCCCTCTTAACAAAGTACTCCCTCCGTCCCAAAAAGTTTTTCTTCTTTCATTTTTTGCGCATCCCATAAAACACTTCTACCGACATCTAAAATGCCTAAAATTTACAATATTTCTTCTTTATTGTGGGTAGAAGTTATTTTGAAAGTTTTTTTGGCATTCAAGGCGGGATAGAAGTGTTTTATAGGATACGCAAAAAATGAAACAGGAAAGACTTTTTGGGACGAAAGGAGTAAGAAAATAATGTAATAAGGAATGTAATGAATGAAACTATTTGTACTTACTCTCTCTCTCTCGTATTTCTTTGAATGTTTTTTTCTTTGATATGATACATCTAAGATGTTGCAGAAAAAATTTCACTTAGCTTTATGCTTGATTTTTATTTTTGAAAATTTTTCATTTTTTGTTTTGATTTTTTTCTCCTTTTTGTATAATTTGCTGTTAACAGTTTCGAATTCTTCATGGAATTAGTAAGATTTAATGAAAGGGTTTGTGAAATTAAATCGAGATGGAGGGAGTATATAGGATCATTTTGGATTAGTTTTAATTCATTAAATAGATTTTAAAGCATTTGGATCTTCTTAATTTGGATCCTCACAATTCTTGTATGGGAGAGTCATTTTTGTTTGTGTGAAGGATGGAGGCCCAAAGTTAATTACCATTCATATAAGGGCTATATTAGTGATAAATTTTGATTATCAACTCAATAAAAATTATTCTCTCTTTTTTTAGATTTGATCTTTTAATTTGAGCTTTGGTCATCTCCAATGTAAAGTTTTAATTATTTAATAAATAATTGTTCTTAGTTTTACAAAATACTTCAATCCTAATTTTTTGTAGCTTATTGCTGGTAGAATTTGTCAAGGAGACTCGCAAAAAACAAGAATTTAATTTGAATCCTCACACTTCTTATGTTGGAGAGTCATTTTGTTTGAGTGAAGGATGGATGCCCAAAGTTTATACCATTCATGGAAGGGCAATATTAGTGATAAATTTTGATTATCAAGTAAATATCAACTCAATAAAAATCATTCTTTTTTATTTAATTTTTTAATTTGAGCTTTGGTGATCTCCAGTGTAAAGTTTTTATTATTTAATCAATAATTATTCGCAGTTTCACAAAACACTTCTAGCCCTAATTTTTTATAGTTTATTGCTGGTAGAATTTCAACCCTAATTTTTTGTAGTTTATTGCTGGTAGAATTTGAGAAATTTACCTAAATAGGACTAAAACATAATGACTTTCCCAATATAGGACCATATGTTTTTATTTCCCAATGTAGTACCTTTGGTCATTATGAAGTAGTCATTATTCAAGTAAAAGTCCATCATTACTGGACATTATTCCTCTCACTAGGTCATTATTCAATCCTATTTAGGAAATAAAAAAGTTCAAGTCTTACATTAGGAAAATCATTATGTTTTAGTCCTATTTAGTGCAAATCTCACTATTTATCACGGAGACATGCAGAAACTGGAATTTTATTTGATTCCTCACAATTCTTGTGTGGGAGAGTCATTTTGTTTGTGTGAAGATGGAGGACCAAAGTTAATTACCATTCATGGAAGGGCTATCTTAGTGTTGATTATCAACTCAATAAAAGTACTTCCTCCGTCCCTAAATAGATTACAATTTCTTTTTATCTCTTCTCTCGATAACTTTTGTTTGTTTACGTGATTTAATTATGTATTTAATAAAATAAATTATTTTTGTCACCTCTTGTTTTGTACTCATTTTTGGCGTAGTTTTTTAATATGTAATTTTTATATCTTTTTCATATACCAATTTGTAAATAAAATTATTTCAAAAAGTAAGAAATTTTACTCCGTAACCCGCAATTTTAATCAAATTGGGGACGGAGGGAGTATTATCTACTCCGTATTTTTTTAGATTTGATCTTTTAATTTGAGCTTTGGTGATCTCCAATGTAAAGTTTTTATTATTTAATGAATAATTATTCTCAGTTTTACAAAATACTTCAACCCCAATATTTTTTGTAGTTTATTGCTGGTAAAATTTGTTAGAGGAGACATGCAGAAACTAGAATTTAATTTGGATCCTCACAATTCTTCTCCCTCGTCCCTAATGACATGAAAGGTTTTGATTTTTAAGTGATTTAAGGGGAGTGTATTTTGGTGTTGAGTTTTCAAAAATGTCCTTGGATGTACTGAGTAAAAGTAGGATTTGATGGGTAGATTAATAGTGAATAGATATGATTTGATAGATAAGTCAAAAATTAGTAGAGATAAAAGTGACTTTTTAATATAAATGAGAAATTTTTTTGTGATGCATAAAAAAGAAAAAGAAGATTTTCAGGGATGGAGGAAGTATTATCTTTATTACTTCTAAAACAAACAAAGTTTAATTGTTTGTTTGGATGGGGAGAAAAATGAGGAAAGAAATTGATAGGAAAGAAGATTGTGAGAAAATGAAAAGAAAATTTGTAGTGTTTTGATTAACAAAAAAAGATATAAATGGTGAGAGAAAAAACTAAAAGAAAGAAAGAGAAGGAAAAAAAGTTTTCTCATCTTTGTTGGAAAAAGAAAACTGGCAAGGGTCTCACACATTAGTCATTATTCATTTTTTTTTCTTTACTCATTTTTCCTTTCTCATCCAAACATGAGAAATTATATTAAAATTTAAATAAATTAAAAAAAAACTGAAATTTAAATTTTATCTTGTTTTTTAATTTTCCCATCATATTCCCACTAACAAGCCATGGGTAAGAGATGCTTGAACCATGAGTGCATGACCCTTTGGAACGGATTCTAGAAAAACAAAGAAATATCACGCAACGCTCTTGTCCGGCCGAAAAGGTTATATTCCATATACACACAATTATAAATCAGATCTGAAATTAAATCATTAATTTTTTGTCGTATGTCCCAAAATAAAAATATATTATCATTGTCTCTGAGTATTTATTCATTTTTTTTATTTTTTGACTTATAATTAAATAATACTCCCTCCGTCTCGGAAAATATGGGAGTTTTGGTTTTGGAGAGGGATTTAAGGAGAGTGTATTTTGGTATTGAATTTTCAAAAATGTACTTTGATGTGATGGGTAAAAGTATGATTTGATAGATAGATTATTAGTAAAAAGGTATGATGTGATAGGTAGGGTATGAAAAAGTAAGGGGTAAAAGTGACCTTTTAATAGAAATGAGAAGTGTTTTTTGGGACGGATGAAAAAAGAAAGGAGAAAGGTTTTCTGGGACGGAGGGAAATGTTATTGTATTTAAATTTGATAAAATAATTTTTTCGCAAATATTTTAAATCTAATAAAATTATTTTTGTAACAATATGTGATATCAGTTTTATTTAATTTAAGGTCAAACTTTACCAATTTTAACCCAAAAAAGTATTCCCTCCATCTCTAAATATTTGTCACACTTGTATTCTCGAAGCAAAATATCAAGTTTTTTCAATTTATTTTATTTACATATTGGTATAGAAATAAAAAATAAAATTTACATATCAAAAAACTACATGAAAAATTCTTCGAAATAAGAGATGTCAAGAATATTTTATTTTATCAAATAACCAATGAAAACATAAAAATAAATAAAAGTTTCTGCGACTGCTAAAAAAGCAAATGTTGCAAATATTTGGAGGCGTATAGTATGGAATAAAAACTAGACAAATACCTGGAGAAAAATAAAAAATGAGAAATGTGTAACTCTAACATTTTTTGTTGTAGCGCTAGCATTTTTATCTAAGGTATAAACTTTTGGCACCCCAAATTTTTTCAACAAAGTGTTCCTTACGCGGATCCCTAATTTGTTACAGCACTATATAAAGGGCCACCCGTCCTTCATTCTTAAGCACATTACATTGAAAACAACACCTTTACTATTATTACTACGACTAGCCTTCTCCTTTCCCAATGGAACAGTTCGCACCAGGCCACTTTTTATCTTGTCTCCTTATTTTCTCTTTTCCATCAAAAACCTAGGGCTCATACAATATAACCCTTTCCCTTCCTGTGTTCCAAATAAATAAACAAATAAAAAGTTATAAAACCCAGAATTATTTTTCTTGTTTTAATTATAGTTTGGCCGGTTCTGGAGATATGTTTGAGATCAAGAAGAATGATTCGTTCAGAAAGAAATTAAAAGGAAAGGATGGGGGTAAGGGGAGGAGATGACAGAAGAGAGTGAGCACAAATGGTGTTTTTCTTGCATGATCAATTACTTCCATGCTTGAAACTATGTGTGCTCACTCTCTATCTGTCATCCCTCCACTCTCTCTCTCTCTTAGATCTTTATGGTTGATTTGTTTTTGAAAATTTTCATTTTTGTTTAATTTTCTGTTGTTAACTGGT